TTTAGGGGCAGAAGTAGGATTTTAGAAGGTAAAGGCGGACAAAGTGGATCTATAACAACTTTAGGTAATTTTACCGTCTTCGTCAATCCCGAGTGTGATTATAGAATTCTCAGCATGCTCACTTACTCCCGGACCGGTGCCATCTCAGCCTCGTAGCTTCAGCTTTAAAAAAATCAATAAAAGTAATGGGTATTTTCAAAAACGGTAACTTCTTCGCAGTGAGCGTGCTCACATACAACCTTGTTCCAAAAACCAGCCGTGTAACTCTAATTTTACAAAGAATAGAAAAATCGACAGAAATAGTAGGTACTTTCAAGAACACTTATTACAATCGTAATCGGCATGCTCGCTTTTCCCATGTGCCAAATCCCAGTTCCGTGGCTTACTTTGCAAAAAATCGATAAAGCAAGTGAAGGTAATTGATAACTTGTAAAATAAGAACGTGTTCGTGAGCAGCATGCTCAATTACCAGCCTGTACCAACCCCCAGCGCCGTGGTTCAAACATTGCAAAAAAATTGATTAAACCAATAGAAGTAATGGGTATTTTCTAAATTGGTTATCATATTCGTAATCGGCATGCTCGCTTGCTCCCATGTGCCAACTCTCAGCGCCGTAGCTCAAATGCAAAAATCGATAAAATGATAAAAGTAATGGGCATTTTTGAAAATGGTTATCATATTCGTAATCAGCGTGTTCGCTTACCCCCTGTGCCAACTCTCAGCCCCGTAGCTTGAACTTTGAAAAATCGACAAAATGATAAAAGTAATTGATAATTCTAAAACTAATATTGTATTCGTAATCAGCATACTCGATCATCCCCCTTTGCCAAGTCCCAGCCCCGTAGCTTGAACTTTGCAAAAAAATCGACAAAATGATAAAAGTAAAGTTTATTTTTGAAAATAGTTATCATATTCGTAATCAGCATACTTGATTACCCCTTTGCCAACTCCCAGCCCCTTAGTTCGAAATTTGCAAAAAAAATCGATAAAATGATAAAAGTAATGGGTATTTCTGAAAACAGTTATCATATTCGTAATCAGCATGCTCGATTACCCCCCTGTGCCAACTCCCAGCCCCGTAGCTTGAACTTTGCAAAAAAATCGACAAAATGTTATAATTAATAATTCTAAAAACTAACATTGTATTCGTAATCAGCATACTCGATTACCCCCTGTGCCAACTCCGAGCCCCGTAGTTCAAAATTTGCAAAAAAAAAATCGATAAATTTGGTGGAAGTAGTAACAAGTTTCCATACTGGAAAGCGACAGACACGAAAATACCATCGACCAGAAAAACACCATCGAGGACGTATAGACAGCATCCACCAGCGTACAGACAAGTACACCATTCGGTTTTATATATATAGAAGGATGAGACTCGGCGTCTTCACCAGTCCTCGCAGTATGCACCATCGATTCTTACCATTTTCCTCCCTGCCTAAGACCCAGTTTCTAACCCGCGTAAAAAAACCACCTAGCCTTGTTGAATACAAGCTTATTTGGTGGGAAGTAAGGTCAGAGCGCTATCATCGACATATGAGCTTAGCATAGATTTACTAGACTTAGGGCCGCATGCACTAACCTCCCCGCTGGGGAGGGGATTGCAGCTTAGAAGAAAGCTTTATATTTCGAAACTCCAGATACCTGGATTTCACATTGTGTACCTATCCCTAAGTATTCCTACTACCCTTCACTATGAACATGTTGAGCAGGAGTGAGAAGCTGTACGAACCGCATTTTCCAGCTTTTGTATGATCCCTGATGATCCCCGGCGCTTTTCTTCAAAGTCATTTTTCTTTCTCCGAAGTTAACGAAAACCTTCCAAAGTTGTACTGAACTTCTAACACAACAGTGCTAAGCATGTTGCTGATGAGAACAAATGAGTTTTTGAAAATTCGAATTTTTCGACAAACCTCAAATTTCGACCTGTGGATCATCGAGATTTTCATGACTTCAAAACATCATTTGTTCTTATCAGCAACGAGCTAGGCACTGTCGGTTTAGATAATCTGCACAACTTTGGAGGTTTTTCGTTAACTTCGGAGAAAGAAAAATGACTTTAAAGAAAAGCGTCGGGGATCATCAGGGATCATACTAAAGCTGGGAAATGCGGTTCGTACAGCCTCTCGCTCCTCTTCAACATGTTCATAGTGAAGGGCAGTAGGAATACTTACGGATAGGTACACAACGTGAAATCCAGGTATCTGGAGTTTCGAAATATAAAGCTTTCTTTTAAGCTGCAATCCCCTCCCCACGGGGATGTTAGTGCATGCGGCCCTTAGACTAGACTTCGTTTTTGGGGGATGTAGCGAAAAGGCGGTGGAATACCGAGGGGAGGACTCGGCGGCGGCTTACGGGGCAGGCTGGATATTGTTTTGGAATAAAAAGCAAAGGCAAAATCGTGAGCGGAAACGCAGCCCACCCCTCTCCCACACAATTCTTCTCTCTTTATGTTCTTTCATCTTAGAACACGCAAATTGTCGTTCCTCAAAAATCAAACTTTTCTGTTTCAACAGTACGCTGGTCAAGCGCGCGAATTCAAACGTGCCCAGAAATAAACAAAAGACTTGTTCACAGCGAAGAGAGAATGAAATGGCACCGAAACTGCGTAGATGCGTAAATGGGCAATGGGGTTAGGACTATGTATGAAAAATTACGAAAAAATATATGGACTGAAGGCGTGGCAAACTTTTTTCGGAGTTAGGTGGCTTCCCAGCACCTGGGCAGCCACCTGAGGATTTGGAAAGAAATAGTCACAAATTTCTTCTCCTCCACATGATTTTCCCACATTGGATATAACCTTGTTTTACATCAAAAACCTTTTTGTACCATTATTTTTCGTTATTCATTTTGATTCATTCGTGATCGCGTCATAGGAAATGTCGTATTTTTGTGACGAAGTCTACGGGGACTTCGTTTTTGAAAAATTGAAAAGCCACCTCATGCCAAGTCCTGGGGGGAGGGCACCCTTCCCCCTTTCGAGAATGAGTCGCGAAATCTGCGGAAGTCGCTATGTATAGTTGTAACGAACGGAAATTCCAAGGAATGACCAAATATTGGATAATTGATTTTTGAAAATTTTTCGAGTGGACGAATATAATTCGATTTTTGATTTTTATGTTATTCGAATTCGCGTATTCGAAAATGGACACATTCCATGATTTGAACTTTCGAATATTTGAGTAACCGAACTTTATCGAACATTCGACTATTCGAACAACAAATAACTAAATATTGAATATTCGAGTGCAATATTCGAATATTCGGGTACTCGAACAACTGTTTTCCAAACTCTATTCGGATATTCGAATAAGATATTTTTTAAGTCGTCGAATAAACGAATTATTCGAATAAAGGCCTTTTTCATTTATTCGACTACTACTATCTGCTCGAATAATCGAATACTTAGATAGACTTTTCAAAATATTCGACTATTCGAATATTCAAATGATTTGGATAAATATTCGAACGAATATTCGGTCAACTATAGAAGTTACTTACAGGTATCGCAAAAATGTGCAGCACAGTCGATCGTAACCCTTCAAATCTGGATCACAGGTACACAATTTTGCTCTCAACTATGATACTGAAAATTTCGGAAACTCATGTGTCGTAACACGCGTTTTCGGATTTGATTTTTGGACCATCTCCAAATCAACTGGTTGGTTCGGAATATAAATCTCGAAGAGTTTACCTAAGTTTTGGATTTTTTCGTTCGGACTACTTAGACGTTCAAAAATCTTCCATTTGATGAAAAAATCTTTCATTTGATGAAAAGAAACCGAACCGTTTCCTCTTCTCTTTTTAGGACCATAAATAAATAAGTTAGTAAACTTTGAGAAACATCACGCTCCAATTCACAACTGAGTGAGTGGAGATGCTAGGAGCCGGGTAAGACCCTAGTCATCTTACTTTTCTATGTACAATTTTCTCTTGCAGTTAGAGGCGCAAAAGATTGCCCATGCAATGAATGTTCCTTTTGGCTCTGATAGACTAAAGTAGATATGTTTCTTAATTTTTTCTTGCTGATCTCTTGTTATTGGAGCAGTTTTGCAGCAGATGGTTATTTTCATAAAATCAACTTTTGTAGCCCTTATCCCATTTCATGACCAAAGGGACTTCGAAATAATTGTGAGATGTCATGACTTCTTTTTCAAAAATGCTCGAAACCAACAACGTGGAGACATCGCCGACATTGCTGTGCATATGGTTGGCGAATTTTCAATGAATTCTATAACACTGGGACCGTCGCGAACTTTTACAAAACTGCCCTTTATGTATATTGATTGGCTTCAAGGGCTTAGTTATAGGTTATTTCTTTCGGACTGCATAGTCGAGTTATCTCAAAAGGCATGTGCAAATCAAAGTTGGACTTCGTTTGGGATTGTTCCGAAAGCTTAGGGTTGTTTCAGACTGCCGCACTGACCGCAGCAGACTGCAGCAGACTGCAGCTGACCGCATTGACCGCGGGGCGCACAGATCGCTACATCCTTTTGTGAAGGTGGGGAGGATAAATAGTTGTAGCTCAAACAGTCTCTTAACAATATAGCCCCATTAGACAACCCGAGCGGGAGTAAAATAGATATATGCGATGACAAAAGGAATCTGAACAACTATGCATCAAAGAAAAACAATCGCCAAAATTTGATTGAGAAGAGTAAGTTAGAACTTTTGAACTTCCTAGGCGTTAATCACGGTATTTTAATGTATTCGCAACTATTATATTTTCTCTTTTACAAAAGGACGCTGCGATTGTGCAGCCGTTGCGGACAGTGCGGTCAGCTGCAGTCTGCTGCAGTCTGCTGCGGTCAGTGCAGTCAGCTGCAGTCTGCTGCAGTCAGTGCAGCAGTATGAAACAACCCTTAGGCGTACTTTCGCGAAAGTCACTGATGGGTTTTGAGAAGCTATTCGCCCCTTGGATTCTGCAGGTACCTAAGTTAGAGTCGAAACAAATGCCATAACTTCGCCCTCAAATCAGGTTACATTGTTCAATGACCAACCTTGATATGTTACCGCTCCAGGTCCCATCTATCGAATATCTGTGGATGTGACCAACTTGAGGCTTAATCAAATAGTGGATGAACGCGTGTGCAACGGAAGTCTAAAGCTTACATTCATGTCGAAAACGTAGGTGTTGTCTCGAATTATTTCGCTTTCCAAGTCGACGATCTGTAAAAAATGAAGTGAAGACTTGCAAATCATCCATTTATCAGCCAACTTACATGACCGGCGTATAGGCCAAGAAAAGTGCCAGCTGGAATTTCCACTGGAGCAAATACTCCCCATCCTTTAAATCGCGTATGGAAAAGAACAAGAGGGATTTGCCTTTCAGCCTGAAGAAGAAAGAATTTTTCCAGTATCGTTTCATTCTTGAACAAACTCTCGTAGAAGTGTTTTATTCAGCAAAGAAATTCTCTTTGTCTATGAAATATGTATCGCTCAGGGCTTGGCACGAGCTGGTACCAGCGAAATTTCAAAACGAAATCCCGTTTGACTTGAAAATTTCGTACGAAGTCCCCTTTGACCTGTTTCCAAACCCGTCATTATTTTTAGATCATGCAAAGATATGTAGTAGGGTTTTCATGCTTGCTGATTTCATGGAACAACTCTTCACAGCTTTTTGAGCTTTTTAAGTGGTTGAATCACATTTTGAGAAACAGAAAAAGCCGATTTTTCGACTGCGGAGCAGACCGAGTAATTTTCAGATGGCTATAAAACGCTGAAAAGAAAACATTATAAATTGTTCCTTCTCTGTATGTAAACTTTTACAGTGTAGATACATTTTATGTAAAAAAAGTATGAAAACTTATGTGAGCAAAGTATCGGTGCCAGCTCAGCTGGCACCAAGCTGATATGGTATGGTCCCAGCTAATTCAGAAAAAGGTTCAGCACAGCTTTATTCATATAAGTTTTCATAATTTTTTGGGCCATGGTTCAGGTCCCCCAACGCGCATGCACGCACCAAATTTGGTGTCATACTATTGCGTTTTGGCTGAAAACAACGCCTTTATTTGTTTGATGGACAGCAGGCCGGTGGCATGCCGGCGGCACTCTTACGGCTCTTCTCGCCCCGGACCCCGGAAAAACGTCCCCTTTGCTTACCGCCCTAAAAACGATAATCAGCTTGACACGGTGCCAGCCGTACAGAGCCCTGGTATCGCTGCCTGGCAACAATGAATCACATATTTTTTCTTAAACTTCAGAACCAATAGCCCCACAAAGAACATCATAGAAAGTAGCAACAGTTTTGCTTTACTTATATACTCAAGGTGTAAAAAAGAAAAAGAAACAGCAAAATACAATGCCAGCTAATCCTAAACCGACGGGAGTCAACTGTGCATGTAAGAATGAACTAGAAGACTCAGACCCTTGAAATCTACCAAACAATTAGCAGATATGGAGGAGTGTTGATCCAAGGCGACCAGACAGCAGAATCTTCTTGTAATTTGATAGAAAGCCTTTTATTTTTTGGCTGTCAACGAGCCTGCGGGCGGAAGTAGCTGACTTGACCCCGAAAAAATTAGCTCTAAATGCAGGCAAGATTCTGAACGGATTTCTAGGTACATAGAGCTAACAGTACTTGTTTCAAAGACTGTTTTCATGCAATGATTGGGCCTAGGTTTAGTAGAGGCATTAGATGTCAATTGAATTCACTCCGCTGCCGAAAAGACAAGCTGCTTTCAATCATTAGGGATAAGAGGATCCGTCTATTTTCAGTCTTTTTCGAAATCAAGAAACAGAACTACTTAAATAAAAAAATCGATTTACCTTCAAATACGCCGACGGACAAGAGTCGTTGCAACCACAAGCTTGTCCACACATCATAATAGATCCTCTCTAAAGATGGAATGAATACTTAATGTGGATGTGGGCTACAGCGTTTTTTTTTGTTGAATTAAAATGCTTTCGGTGCATGTTTACCCTTTAATTCAATTGGATTGACGGCTGGAAGGAAAATGATCAGAGGCCACGCGCGAGCGAGACACAGACTGCGTAGCGGCCGCGAGCGTGCTTTATTAGGTCACAAAGCCCCGCCGTCTAGCCGCCAATCCAGTTGAACCAAAGGTTATGCTACTTAACTCTTTCACTATCAAAAACCCTTATGAATAAATTTACCTGCTTGAATTCCAGACAAGGGCACTTTCCAATTTCACATTGGTTCTGGGGACAGCGACAACCACCGCCACTCATCGGAAACTTCCAGCGAAGCTTGGCGCAGTCCCTCTGCATTTCGCGACTTGTAAGAAATGACAGAGTACATCGCGGCAGGTACTGAAACATTATGATTAGTGTTCTTGACAAAGCTGACTATAGGATTTTCTAAACAAAAACTGACGTCAAAAGTAAGGGGCATTGGTTGATTTCTTGTCCAGCTTTCTATAAAAATGGGAGCAATGTGGAACGCTTTCAAGAGCCGGTTAATTTTGGCCTCGAAAATTCGCAAGTTCACCCGCCATTCCTTCTGTAAATTGCAGGTTTGAGGGTTTGGAAAGGAGCGTAATTGTTGGCCCCGCAAAGCAACCCAGTGCTTTACATATAAGTCCCGATCAAACCTTGAAGTTTAAGCGCTGCGCACAATGCGGGTAATCTTCTTTGAATCCTTGCGGATCACGACTTTCCATGGTCTTTATCAGCTGCTCCACCAATCTTTCGCGATCTTGTTGTAGATTGATCTAGAAGATTTTTGCTTGCTTACCTTATTTGGCTAAACAATAAGTCCGTTTTACATGCTCATTAATTCGATAAAAAAAATTTTCTCGTTGGTTTGATCTATGATTTTCAAAGGATAGTAAGCGTTAGCGTTTCTACAGGGTTGGGGGAAAGTCCTTAAACAATTTTTGATGTCCTTGTATGTTCGGCTTTTCCACAAATTTTTCTTGATTTGCTTTAGCAGATTGGCTTTGCATTAGGAACTCTCGTCATCTGCTACCCTTTCTCACCACCATACAGGGTTGGGGGAAAGTCTTTGAACAATTTTTGATGTCCTTGTATGTTCGGCTTTCCCACAAATTTTTGTATGTTAATTAGATTTGTTTGCTTCTTATACTCTTGAGTACAAGCCCTCAAGAAACTGGACTATTAGCTTTTTTCCTATCTCATATATACAGCTGAATGTCTGTTTGTCTGTAGGTATGTCTGTACGTATGTGCGGAATAGAAATTTTTATTTCAGAACCGATTTGGACCAAACTTGGCATACATATACTTCGGGGTCGGGAGCGTGTCATAGGCTACTTTTCGTTATCGATCGATATCGATTTTGTCGATTTTTTGCAAAATTTGAGCTACGGGGCTGGGAGTTGGCACAGGGGGGTAATCGAGCATGCTGATTACAAATATATTATTGACAGGGCCGGGCGGAGCCGGGTTTGCCAACTAGTCGAAGATATGCCTTTTGGAATGGAGCGAGCGCTGGTGGAGAAGATGCACGAGGAGAGGATAGCTGATCAGCAACTTACGCGGGCTCCCCAAATTTTACAGATCAAAGTCGTTTCCACCTTGCGTCGTTTCCAGGATATGAACAGCATCCAGGACTGTTGTATGAGTGGTAAATTGGCTACTGCGGACAATAACGAGATTCGAAAAATCGTTCACCAACGCTTTCGTCGCAATCCTCGGCGAAGCTTGATTGAGCTGGCTGCAGAGCTTTCCATCTCTGGGACAGTCTCCGACATCGTAAAGAAGGGCCTTGCAATGAAGCTTTTCAGGATGCTAAAATTCCATGCTTTTTGGGAGGACATGAAGCTGAACTGACTGCGCAGGTGCCATCGACTGCTTGAACGTCTCTCCAAGGCACGCCACCGAACGATACTCTTTTCTGACATCAAAATTTTTACCTTGAGGAAAGTTTTCGATTGCCAAACAACAGAATCATTACCTAATTGCCCCCAGAAGTCAATAGCAATGGTTGACTCGCAAAAGTAAAGCTTCATCCGACTTCTGTAATGGTTTGCGCGGCGATCGCTTCCGACAGCAAGATGCTGGCGACTTTTGTATCCCAAGACATCGAGGTGGACACTGCTACGCACGTGGATAGCTTCCTGAAGAAGGGATTGTTGTCCTGGACCAATACCCATTTTCCCAGGAGCGATTGGGGTCCCCAGTAGGATAGCGCACCTGCGCACAAAGAGAAGTTTGTTTAAGCATGGCTCCAAATCAACTCAAGGACTTCATTACTCCTGCGGAATGGCCTCCGTATTGGCCGGATCTGAATACCCCTGACTACAGCGTGTGGTCAGTTCTTTAGGCCAAAGCCTGCGCTCACCCATGCAAGAAATTGGAGTCTTTGCAACTTGCTCTTCAGAAGGCATTGGAAGAGATCGATGTGAAGCACCTCCGTGCCACCATGGACAGCGTTCCCAAGCGTTTCCGAGCTTGTGCTCGCGTCAAAGGAGAAATCTTCGAATTGTAAAGCCAGCTTTGCGGAGCAGACAGTTAAGTAAACATTACCTATTTTTCATGCCTAGCTTCATCATTACCTCAAAACTACCGCGTTCAAAGACTTTCCCCCAATTCTGTACTATCACATACCAACCACCCAGAATCTTTCATTGTCAGTAAGAAATAGTCAACCCCAATAAACCTAGATCTGTAAAAGCTCAATTTCTGGACTTTTTTTGAAACTTGTTCTCATGCCCTGATGGACGTAGAGATGAGAGATTTGCTATATGGATACACCCAAGCTTTCTCTAGCGAATAAAATACAATTTGTGATCTGCCATTTGAAATTCTCGAATGACATTTTCTCACATTTGCGCACCATGAGAAATTTAGGGTTTCTCATTTTCTGCGCCTTTTTTATTATAGAATGAAATCCAAACGAGCAGTATTTATGCTCTAATTCTCATTCGAGTGCTCTTTTTTAGATGCCAAATCTGGATAAAAATTTGCCTATAGCACCTAAAGAAGCCGCAAAGCGACCGAAGTCATTTATTAGCCAACTATATTAGAGCGATGTATGTGTCCGTATATCATTCTAAGCAAAACATGAACTTACGAGGGACTTGTCGCTCAGTCTAGCGCTGTGAACACGATACTGGCAGTGCCACTTGTAGGACGCCAAGGTTACGAGATAATAGCTGAAGGACTTCTAAATCCAAAATTAGTCTAGTTTTAGACTCTATAAATTATTACAACTACCTTTATACCAGGGCACGATTTCAGGATAGCCGAAACTTCCATTAGAGGCTTACAGTTTCCCAGATTAACAAAAGTTCTGCCTATGGGATCAGGGTCACGATAAGTAGCCGATAAAGGGTAGAATAACGTAGCATCTGAAAATAACGATCAGAGCTACAAGCAATCTACCAGACATCTTGCCTTTGACTGAGAAGACATCGACATGAGGAGCTTGTCTCCATCTCGCAGAGAATCGCTTAAAAAGACCTGTAACAGAAATGTCGCAAAATTAGTCTTGTACTTATGAGTACACAAAAATCAAGGCTAATTGGAGAAAAAAATACAATTGCACGTGGTGGGTACTTCCGTGAGCGTAGTTGACGATTGCTTTTATTGATAGGTAAACACGCACGTTTTATAGAGGCTCAATTTTCGTCTCACAAAAATGAAAATTAGCTTATGGTGCGAGGAGGAAGCTTTTCTGATAATCATGTCGAAGAATAAGCTTCAGAGGGAGGGATTACAAATAGGGTTCTGTTAAATGCAAAAATCATGTCATTAAGTTGAGGAGGAGAGAGTTATTACGGGACCCGCCGTTGACGACAGCAATATTTGAAATTAGGATAACTTTTTGTTCAAAAACTACCGAGATATGTGATGGACTGGAAGTTCTCACAGCTATTAGGTTGTCCCGAAAGCTTTGCACTTTTTTTCAAAGATATAAAACCACGCACATTGAAGATTTGAACGAATTTCAACATGCATTCGATGCAGCCTTTCTTTCTCTTTCTTATGGTTACATTTTCGAACTATTACCTTGTATGCTTTTTTTGATAATTGCCGAAGTTCTTCACCCGTTATTCTTATTTGCTCAAAGTTTGGCTAATTTTTTAAAATTTCCTTTCAAAGTTTCGGAAGGGTTGAGTATGGATCAAATAGAACAATTCTCGAACTATACGGTACTATTCTTAGATTCTCATAGTCTGCTGTTTTTAGCTTCAAACAATTATTTTTTTCGGAGATCTCCATTTTTGGCAAAGTAACACACAACTGAAGCAAAAACAAAAGCTTTTGAAGTTTCTACGAAATGAAACTTGACTGTTATTGAAAATTACTTACGCAAAATAACCAACTTCGATTTGCTTTGAAAAAAAAACAGCTTTTTGGAATTTTCGGTACTTTTACGTGGTAAACCTGATCAAAAAACCGCATTTTTTCTTAAATAAATAATTATAACGGAATTGGTAAACGTGGCCCATGTAATCTAAAATGACTGCAGTGTAGCCAAAGGTTTGCGCTACATAACAGTTATTAACATTATTTGAAAATATCAAGATAAAAATTTTTGAAGTTCAGGAAAGATTTGGCGCTACTGTTGGGCTGCTCAAAAAGCCATGGCGATAACATTGCAAAGACGGGGTAGATCAAAGAGCAAATCTGATTGTAAGAAAGAGGGTAAAAATCTAAATGAAATGGTACCTAGATCTTCCATGGATTGGTGTTCTTTGAGTTTTAGTGAGCGATGGAAAAAAACGGACAAAACTTTCGGGACAACCTAATATACTGCTAAGAATGCGACACATTTGAACGCACCATTCGAGCAAACAAAACTGCGTCTTCGAGTTTACCTTTTTTGTAGATCTTCAGAGGTGCCGACAAGAGAATAAAGACCGTGTCTTTGACACAGAGAAAAAGTGATTCATAATTCATACTCAATACAGGAAATGCTGGGTGGTTGTCAGGAGCTATTACAATGGGAGGTGTCTCTATTCATATAAACGGCGTTTGTGAAGAGCCCGGCATCCGTAAAGGATGTGATCTCATCACATGTAAAAACGAACATCTTGTTTTACCAGCTCTGAGCGCAGTCCCGATTGTGTACCCCCTCACCCCCAAAGCTGCGCGGAAGACATAACGAAATTGAAAAGTTGCCTGGACAATGCACCTGAGGAGCGCGACTTTCTGTACTGTAGGAAAGGCGCGAATGACTGCACGATTGGTATCATTCGTTATCCCGCCCCAAACACTATATAAGGTAGCACACTCCGCCTACAAGAGGTTCGAGCTTGAGGCACTTTCCAGGTGCCTCTTCAACAACGTCTCCGAATCTCTGTCCTCCCCGCCCCCATTTCACCCAATTCTTGGAATCAATGCTGCTATTCCTTGTCTGATCTATCTCCATTATCCTCAGCATGGTACTTCTTACTTAAGCTTGCTGCCATTTATATTGCCATGCATATGTAAAGTTGTGTCGGAGCATTAGCTCCTGTTTGGCTACTCTCTTTCGGATTATCTCGTCTTTTCGCTTGACCTAAAAAGAAGTAAACGAAGTATAAAAAGTATAGAAGAAGTAGTAGTATATGGAAGTAGAAGCACGCACTCATCCCGCCCCCCCCCCCCCCCCGATTGCTATCTGCCCTAACCTTTTATGTAGTGCTTTGTCTGTGTTAGCTATATAAATGTGTACAAGGGAATGGTCGAAAATCGAAGTGGCCAGTCTAAACAAGCTGCATATTCTCAGATGCAGCATAGAACGCTGACATCGAATCTGTATTCCTTATCTGCTTAGCGCCTATATGGGTGAAGTTATAAGTCGTTAAAGATCATAATTTGCTGAGAAATCGTGTATGCAAAACGAAAATTTGGCTGTACACAGCCATGTTTGGTTTGAAGCTGGGCCAAAACATGCAGCTGGGTTACTTTATATTCTTAAATCCTGAAGGTGAGTTGGAAGTGCAAGAACGTGCTCAATTTTATTTATTTACTTATTTATTTATTGATGCACTGTTTGTGCACAGTGCGCTACAATACCGCTCACATTTTTTGAAAAAAAGACGCGAATGTATGGATCTGTATGGACATGTACGGACATGTCCATACATGTATGGACATGTCCGTACATGTATGGACATGTCCGTACATGTCCGTACATGTCCATACATGTATGGACATGTCCATACATCAGCGTCGCGTGGCCATATCTCGCTTCAGAGTGGACGAATTCTGAATCCAAGGCCACAATTCGATTCAGCTCGGCGCGGAGAATTTTCTGATATATTGGAAGTGGGGGTGCGATGTTTTCGATATTCCGTTTCCAGTTTTTTCAATTTGTTCTGTGGAGGTCCTTTCGCGAATATGTGAAGCAACACCCACCCAACATAGAAGACTTTACTAAGTACTTTCAGATAATACTGTTCTTGTAAATTATTGTGCGCTAAAAAATAGGCTCAGACTTCTTTCCAAAGGAGGTGAAAGCGTTGGTGAATTTTGGAAAAATCACGCGTTTCTAAATTCTACTCGCCATAACTTCCTTCGGAGTAAGTATATTTTGAATCCGAAAACTGCGCCTTGCTCAGCTCCTCAAGTCGAATCATCCTGTGTACAGCATGCCCTTCGTATTTCGATTTCAGTATTCTTGAATCTTTCTGAGGACGTCTTTTCACGAAGGTGCAATGCAGCGAGCATTGTCCCGAGTACATTTCAGCAAGGATCTTTCGATAGCACTTTTTCTGTAGATTATGATGTGCTAAATAGTAGTCGCAGGTTACTTTTCAAAGGAAATAGAAGGGCTGGTGAATAGTGGAAAAATCTTGTCGTCCCAAATTCTACTCGCCATATCAGCAGGATACGAAGCTATCTTGCTAAGCAGATGTGAGTTTCGAAATCAGCAGATCGCATAACCTCTACGAGCAAGTTTTCCGATATGTTCGGGTCATTTCATTTTTTCTCGCCTTACGCTCCGGAAGCGCGCCGATGGATTTTGGTCAAAATGTTGATGCTCTTGAATTGTAAGGAAACTTCGCTTATAGAGGTTTTCGAACACGCTCTTTACGAAAATCGTGGTCTTTGAGGATTACAGGGTCTTTTTGGAGAGATACGGTGAGGTGACTGTAACTTCATCACGAAAGTACGTAACTTTGGCCGCAGTTCTCGCGTATCTGTCAGAAACCTTGCCTGCTTGCTTTTCTCAGTCAAAGTTACTAGGAAGTGTGCTATCGAATGGTGTATTACTCAGGGTCCAGTCTGTGAATCGCCGAGTTACGAGCCTACAAATACACGTCCTCATGAATTTTGCCCAAATTGTAAAGATCGCATATCTCGTCGAAATTCTCCGCGAACGCTTGTATGACGCTCGTTGCAGATATTATGTTCGCTTCGTTGAACGTCTCCCACTGCACTGAATATGGTGCTTGCGTCTGCTTCCGCTGCTCAACTGACAAAGCTATTCCGTGGCTAGAGCTCAAAGCACCAAATCTAACACAATAAGTAAGATCCATTAAAAATATGGAAGGATTTGATCAGCGCATTGTATTAGGTCATTCGGATAGTTTTTTCCTTTTTGCGCCTTTGATGTTGATACCATATTTTAAGAGGGTGTCAGGGGGCTGTTAAGGGTTGCCATATATAGTTCCGGGATCCCACCGAAACTGCAGTAGACGCTTTGTAGGGAAGTTTACGCGGCTCTAAATTCGACATACGAAAACGCGATTATCAAATAATTGTATTCTCTAAGCTTAAATTTGAGCGTAAGACCGTTGAGGAAACCATCATTGTGCGCAATGCATTTGCCAAGACCACGTCTTTTTTGAGGTAGGTTCAAGTTTACTTCAGAAAGTTCAGATCTAGAGAAGTAAAAGCTAATATTTTGCAGTGTCCTGGAAGGTGTTTCTGCCATATAAACGAGCATCTCAGAGGGTCCTTTAAATCGCAATTATAGCTGCGTAAAATTATCAGCAGGCCCTGAAGTGTCATATAACCTTATTAGGAGCCACCTTCGCTAAAGCTGCAATACCGAAAAATTTCAGCGACATGTACCCACAAATTGTCGCAATCGCAGTTTGAGGGCGCGTTGACTCTGCTTTCGTCGCTCATAATTTTATGTAGCAATCCTTTTCCAGCCTGAGTTATTAATTACAGCAAAAAATTGACTAAGAGCGGCAATGAGAAGCGACAATGTGGTAAATCATTTGGAATAAGCATTGAAAGCATGACCAGAACAATCTGTCATTCCAAAAGCTTGATGCACTCAAATCAATGTAATCCTGCTGGTCTTGTACGCTATAAACTTGCTAAAATGCTATTGTACTGTAAGAGCAGAGTAGTGTGATGTCGTTCTGAAGACTGTTTGTCAAAATTTCAAAACTGAGCAGACTTGCACGTATAAGCTATGAGAGATGCCATCCACGCTCATGACTCCGCCAAACCACATGTAAGAAAAGTGGCTCTCACAAAAGGGGTTGACTGCGCACCGAGGTTCCTGTTTATTT